TACTATATCCAAATCAGAATATTGGAATAGAAACGACGTGATTAAAGTAGCTGGAGTTTCATACCTTAGTTCGAATTAGGGGGGGTAGTGTAGACCAAGCCTAAGTGTTCTGATACCTGGATCCAAAATCTGCATCAGTTCCATTGGGACTTCATCTTCTCCTGACTGATCATGCTGGGGGCTCTGCCTGTCTCCAGCACTCCGGACCCTCAGCTACCACCATCACCTGGGCCCCCTGATTGATTCATGCTTCACGGAGTGGTGAGAACCCAGCTTTCTCTCTCTCTCTCTAGGTATAGCCTTCTGACCCTGACTTGTGTGATCAGTTATAGTTTTCTAAACCTGAATTTTATAATCAAATTTAAGTTAGATTTAATATTATAACTGTTTTGTTTGTTTGGCTCCCCTATGGTTGTTACCTGGCAATAAATAACTTTCATGGTTAAGCTGGTTGCTTTTCTCTCTCTCTCCCCCCTTCCCCCCGGGTGATTTTTGGTTTCCTCATTCTCTCTGCAGCAACGCTTCTCGTACCTAAGCTAAAAGATCACTGCAGCGCCCAAAAATCCTGTGGGGTTTGCTCATCAAGTGGGTTACTACCAGAACAATTGTAACGTGAAAGGGGGATAGGGACGTGCTGAACCTGGGACATATGAGGGTGGCAGATTGAAAGTGCTGCTCAACCCAGCCTGCTCAGGCATACTCTATTCCAGTACGGTGCCCGGGGCATATGAGGGTGACAGCTTGGAGATGGTGTTCGACCCAGCATACTGAGTCCAGGGACATATAAGGGGTCAGCTTGGGAATGCTGATTAACTCGGTCCTCTCAGACGTGCTCTGCTAATGTGTGTGTGTGTGTGTGTGTGTTTGTCTGATTCTGGGGCTGGACGATCCCAGCCCGGGGGAACCTAGGTCCTGCAGGATAGCTCCATTGGGAGGGAACTTGCAGCAGGGAGAAGTAGAGCTCCATATGAGAACACAAGTGACACAAGCAGTACATGGATAGAAGTAAAGAAACCCTCCCACCCCGCCCCCGGAAGAGTAACCCTAATAAATGAGCATACTCCAAAGTAACGGGAAAAGCTGGTAAAACTGACGATTTGAAATGATATAGTTAAGGACATTATTTCAAAAGTAAAGTATATAGGAGTAAAGTTTGTATTTCTGCTTATTTGTCTTGGATCCAATAGGGCTTTAATAACACCGTGCATGGACTATGAGAAAGGGACTGAGAGACTTTTTCTGTTGGGCCATATGAACTGGAACCATAAACTCACTGAACGTTAATTCTCACCAAATGAGGGTCAATCCATCCTTATCATCTTATCCACTTATTATACTCCACACCTGAACATAGCCATTATATGAACATATACCCTCATATCTCAGTGTCTGTACTTTGACCCATCAACCTTTTACCCCCAGTTGGGGATATTGCAGATTATGTATTCCTTACGCCATCTGATCTTAAACTGAACTTCGCACCCCTTGATAATCTGTATGTTATTCCCTGATAACCAGAAACTCTACGCTTAAACTCTGTACCGTTCACTTTTTTTAAAAATCATCTTAATAATGGCAGGAGTCCATGCTGATGGAAAAGCCATGCTCACTTCTGTATTTTCACACTTTTATAGAATTGTGCCGACCTAATTTAGGATAAACTCTGCAGTACTTTCTCAATTCTTTCTGAGTTGAAAACTGAGGTATTAAAAGGTATTTTACTAATGTAGTAATATCATTTCATCAGCCTATTGGTCAATACAACAAGTGTCCATGAATAGTTATTATGAAATTGCACTAGTCCATTTAAGCTTTCCCTGTGGTTAACTTATGTAGTATGGGACGGGGGTCATCATAACTGCAAAAGAGACTGAACAGACAACTCTATTTTGCTCAGATATTTTAAAAAGTAGAAATAATTTCTCACCATGAATTGACAGTGAAATGTATTTGAAAGTAGAACTTTTAATTGGCTTCTCTGAGCCCATTTTTGATAGTGGCCCTCTTGCTTTCAAACAGGATTTATGATGCTGGATCTATGGAAGTGTAAAGAAGCTTCTATGCTAGTTCAATAAACACAAAAAGAACAGGAGCATATTGGCATGTAAGCTTTCCAAGATGCTTTGTGTCAATGTCCTCCAGACCCTCTCTTTCAAATGAAAGCAACTAACATTGAAAGTTTTGCTGCTTGAGTATACACAGTGTTTCCTGAGGACTATACAGATAAATAAAAGGTAAAGACACATTAAAATGGATATAGAAGGTACATGTATCTCAGGGATGTTCTTAGAACTTCAGGGTTCAGAGTGGTAGCCATGTTAGTCTGTATCAGCAAAAAGAACGAGGAGTACTTGTGGCACCTTAGAGAAAGGGGTTAGTCATATGAGTGGTACAGGTGCTACATACACAGAATGGCCCCTTCAAAATGTGTACAGCTCTTTGCAAAACTTTTTTGAAACTAGAGGTGGTGACAAAACAGGTTATTTCCCCCAGGGAAAAATTCAACTTTTCTGCAAAAAATCAAAAACTGAAATATTTCTACCAACAACCAAAGTAATTTGATTAGGAAATGCTGCTGTGGGGAATGTTTGAATTGTTGTTTGGGTGCCTCATGTTCCCATTTTTCTCTATAGGCTGGGCTCCATGATCAGACAATGTCTCCTGTAATACCCCATGGTCTTCTTCCCTCCTGCTGAAGGAAGGCAGTGCATTATGGGAATCTCATGATTGTGGTGCACCATGGGAACTGCAGTCTCACCCATGGAGAATACAGATATGAAGCAACTGAACTACAGTGCCCATGAAGCACTGTGGTGGCAGCATATCAGAATAAAAAATATTTTTTTTGGCTAAAATATTTCAGGTATTGGCCAAAAATCAAAATCTTTTTGGATTTAGGCTGTCCAGTTTTTTTTTTATTAAAAATTGAAATCTGCTGTGGAAAGCAGAACTTTCTGCCAAAAAAAAAATTAGTCAAAAATCCAAATTTCTGTGGAAAAACAGCTTTGACGAAAAAGTTCTAGACCATCCATATGTGAAACACAAGGACAGACAGGCCGTTCAGCTGCTGCTTTTCTGGACTATGTTTTGGAGGTGCACTGGGCATCCAGAATGCCCTGAAGAGGGTGTCCTATTTACAGGGGAAAATTAAACCTTCCTTGGACACTATCAGCTTAGTTTGTGCTCAGAACCCTGCTCGCCACTACTTATAGTGAAGTTCCTGAGTAAAACATTATTATGATGTTTTTCTTTTTAATTTCAATGAAAACAGTTTAAAAATGAGGAGTCCTTGTGGCACCTTAGAGACTAACAAATTTATGTGGGCATAAGCTTTTGTGGGAGCTCCCTGGTCACTCAATTACAGACCTAAAAGTCGCAATACTCCAACAAAAAAACTTCAAAAACCGACTCCAACAAGAAACTGCTGAATTGAAATTAATTTGCAAACTGGACACCATTGAATTAGGCTTGAATAAAGTGGATTGATCATTACACAAAGTAAAACTATTTCCCCATGCTAATTTCTCCCCCTAGTGTTACTCAGACCTTCTTGTCAACTGTTGGAAATGGGCCATCCTGATAATCACTACAAAAGTTTTTTTTCTCCTGCTGATAATAGCCCACCTTAATTGATTAGGCTCGTTATAGCTGGTATGGCAATACCCATTTTTTCATGTTCTCTGTGTATATATATCTTTCGACTGTATTTTCCACTGCATGCATCTGATGAAGTGGGTTTTAGCTCATGAAAGCTTATGCCCAAATAAATTTGTTAGTCTCTAAGGTGCCACAAGGACGCCTTCTTTTTGCTGATACAGACTAACAGGGCTACCACTCTAAAAAAAGTTTTAAAATGTTTACATATTGCCATGTAATCCTGGAAATGCAAATATCGGGGCATGGGACAAGTGCATGGGAAGCAGAAAGTGAAAACCACTGAGCTAAATTTCATGCACAAGTACTCCTGTTCTTTTTGCGGATACAGACTAACACGACTGCTACTCTGAAAAATAGTCAGAACTGTGTAACATGCAAGATCAAACAAAAAAGTAGGAGATTCTCTCTTTAGGCCAGAGGGTGGGTTTTGCACCTTCCTAGGGACCACGTTTCCAAGCTTTTCTCCACAGTCACCGGGGAAAGACAGGCGGAAATGCCGCCCTGACCCCCTCACTCCAGGAGCTGGCGCTTTAAGGGAAGCACCTTGCCACCCGCTACAAACCCCGGGGAGTTCCCGGCCCGGGGAAACGAACAGCGGGAGCCCAAGCGGCTGAGCACCGGGTCCACATGGGCGGGGCAGCCCACAGGCGCACGTGCAGTGACCGCCCCGAGCCTGCAGGGGGCAGCCGAGAGCAGGCACTCATCGGCCGGGCCCCGCCCCGATGCCATGACACCTCCCCCTGTGATGTCAAACGCACGTCTCTAGGCAACAGAATCCCAAACAGCGCGTTCACGTTCCCTCTCCGCCTGGCAGCGCGCGGGGCGCGAGTGGCCCGTGTCCGGGCAGCAACACCAGCCCCGGAGCGGCGCCGGGCTCGAGACCGGCACGAGCATGGCGCTACCGCTCCTGCCCGGGAACTCCTTCAACCGCAGCGTGAGTGACAGCGGCAGCTCCGCGCCAGAGACCCCGCCCCCGCCGCATCCTGTGCCCCCCGCCATCCGCACAGCCGCCTGCGCCCCCGCTCCTAGCCCCCCCGTCCTTTGCCATCCCCACCGGCCCCTGCTCCTAGCAACCCTGCATAGCCCCCCTCTGCACTCACCTCCCCTACAGCTAGCCCCCTTGCACCTCTCCCCCTCCCCATAGCAACCCTGTGCATCTCCCCAGCCACCCCCTGTGTCTCCCCAGTGCCCCTAGTACCTCCCACCCTGCACCCCTTGCATAGGTCTTTCACCAGCAACCCTGCATAGCCCCCTGGCAACCTCACATAGCCCCTCCCCTGCACCTACCACTCTGCAGAGGCCCTCTCCTGCACCCCCTACCCCCTGTACCCCCTTGCACTTAGCAATGCCTGCCCCAGAGTTCCTTGTATCAGCAGTCCCACTCAGCCCCTTTACCTGTCACACCTACCCTTCACAGAGTCCCTACCCCTGTCCCAGCACACCTAGCAACCGCATAAGCTCCTTGGTCTGCACCAGAGCCCCGTCTGCACTGCTTCTATCTTCTGGTATCCTCACACACCTCCTTGTAGCTCCTGCACCTAGTGACCCACCCTGCAGCCCTCTCCTGGCACTTGCCCCATGAATCCAACAACCCCCAGATATTCTTTCTAATCACCCCCCACCTACCCACACACTCCCAGCTCCCCCCCCCCCCGTTGTTCCCCTCTATATGCTCCCTAGGTATCTCCCCAGCATACTGCCCAATCTACCATGCAGGTGTCTGATGCCTTTGTTTTCTCATGTGCGGGGAAATAAGGATAATGATACTTGGCTCCCTTGGTAAAAAGCTTTTGAGATCTACTGATGAAAAATGCTATGAAAGAGCCAAGTGTTGTTGTTGCTCCCCTTCAACGTACCTCCCAAGTGCACCCTAATGAACCCCAGGCTTCCCCAATATCCTCCACAACATACCCTTCAGCATTATCACTTCCAGTATGCTCTCTCAATATACACAAGTATAGCTCTTGATTGAACTCAAGATGTGATTGCTTCACCCTATCTCTCTTATACTTATCATGTTCCTAGAAACCCATACATTTGAAATGACTGTGCTTATTCCAGGGGAGAAGGGAGGGTAGGTCTAATTTTCAGAAGATTGTTCAAAAATAAATGTTTATTGCCGACATCAGGCGTTGGCAGTGTTTGCACCTGATGAACTGCTGCTATGAACGTGGTCTAGCAGCAAGTGTAGATGAGGACAAACACAACATGTGTCCTTGTCTATACTTGCAGGTAAATCATGTTTCAGCTGTACCTGTTGTCAGCAATAGTTATTTTTCTCTTGTGTATATGAGGCTTTGCTTCCAATACACTTATCTTCACTGGCATTGTCTGCACTGGAGAATTATATAGTGCGTGATTAAAATATTAGTCTTGGCCCACATGTAAGTGGTATACTAGTATCCACACTATCAATAATATTTCACTTGCACTTATCTCTGCATCCACACACAGCTGTAAAATAAGCACATTGCCCTCAAGGGTCAGTGATGGGAGGACTAATTGTCATATACAAACTAGTTTTAGTGCTTCTCATGTTCATGAACACTGTAATATTGAAAGCTAGCATTGACTAAGAATAACTCTATTCAGACTTGCTTATAGTAGAGCAAACAAAAAAGATATAAAGCATGCCTTTAAAACATTTGTAGCAAATCTGGGACTTTCTGGAGGGGGGAACTGACCTCTAGTGCATCAAAAAAATCTCCAATGTAGGTACATCATGGGTGCTTTTTTCTGCTTCCATTGAAGTCAATGGCAAGACTCCTATTGAATTATTTGGCAGCAGGATTGGGCTCCACAGTAGTTGTGACAAGCAGAGTTAACTTAAATTCTGGAGTTTGCCACCTCCCCATTACACATTTATTGAGCAAAAGTGAAATAGTGTTACATTTATAACATTTCTTCTTTTTGAGAGCTTAAGTCAAAAATGAATATATTTAGCAAGCAAGGAAGAACTGAGTAACCAACCAGTAGTTTTTAGGACAGTTTGAACTTTGTTTATTTATGTAACAAAGGAAAACGGAGAGACAAATACAGTTTAAAAAAAATCAAAACAAGGACACTTCAGGGATAAACAAAGTTAAGAACGATAATTCATCAGTCATAGCTGACAACAGCATTCTTTATATAGTTCCATAAGTATTCATGGCTGTTTGTAAATATGTAGAAGGACAAGGTTCTTACCATGAACTCTAAAATAAAAGAAAATAGAGTTTAGGCAGCCACCACTTTTTCAAATCTGCCCATTAAGGATGGGAAAATTTAAATAATATTTGTGCTATTCAGCTAATTTATTATCAAATATTTTTGAATATCAGTAGGTGAATACTTAGAAGTGAGTGTAACAAAATGAAGTTCAGGTTCAAAGGCTAGAGAAAGAGTTAAATCTTTATGAGAATATTCTACTCAGTCATGTGGCCTCATTCATCTATTTTGTAATCATTCTTCAGATATTTTGGGTGCTGGTTGTTATTTCTAGCTTGTGCTGTTCGCAGTGCCCTTTTCTCAGAGAAGACGAGGAGATGGGACGGGGGTGGAAATCTCACTCTAAAATTTTTGTCATGAGCCACTTTATCTCAGCTGCTACAGTTGTTGGCCTATTGTGTTTAATTTTGTAATGAACTGGCTGATGTGTATATGATTCCTCAGATAGTCTGGTGATGAGTGCATTCAGAGGTGCTGGTGCACCCCGTGGCTTGAAGTGATTTCCATCAAATACAGGCTTTACAGTTTGTTTCAATGGCTCTCAGCACCCCTATGATGCAAATAGTTCCAGCAACCCTGGATGCATTAGAAATACCTACATAGATGTGTACCATCACGATCCACTGGACGGAAGCAGAAC